CCATGCCAGTTCTTCTCAAGAAAACAAAGTGCTTTTTTGTTACTTAGTAGGGCTTCCCGCATATCTAAAATCCTTGATAAATGCTAGTGCCTAAGCCTCTTTGCAAAGTTTTCACATTTTGCATTTGACATGTGTGGAAGGGGATTCCTGAACACCCATCTGTGTTTATTGTGTAGTATTATTTCAGAAAATAACTTACAAGGAGTAGCAGATCCCACCACAAGATAGGTGGAGCCTGATATGTAGGAGAAAAAGAATTGAAAACTGCAGAGATTTCAAGGACCACTAGAAAATAAGACAGAAGCAGCGAAAGTGCACTAAAGGGGAAATACAAGCTGTTTAGGACCTCGGGGTTTCCTGTTACTGGTGTTGAAACAACCCTCTCATCAATCGCAGCTCTGATTTCACTCCTTGGCTGCAAATGCTGACAGGTGGAAGCAGCCAGGCTGGCTCATTTCACAGAAAGGTGCTGCACACTTAGCTCCATAGCTTTCTTTGGGGAAGGGAAGGGACTCGGAACCTGGAACCCCCTACAAGTCATATAAAGACTCACAGGCACACTTCCTTCTGGTCAAATGAAACCTGACGGATCATGATCTCCTGAACACCTGTCCGTAACACACTGACGTGCACCGACATATAGATTATAAAATAGTATTGAAATGGTGGCTGGCTTTGTGCTTCTATAAATGACAAGTCTCCATCCCATTAACTCCCCACCCCCCTTATAATTGTGGCTGGTTCAGCTTTCACTTCCTTCCTTACTTTCTGTTAGGTAAAACCACTCTAATCAAGGCCCTTACTGGGGATTCAGCACTGCAGCCTCAAGATCAGCTCTTTGCAACATTGGACATTACAGCCCATGCTGGCCTCCTGCCATCATGTCTGACCGTCCTGTATGTTGACACGATTGGATTTCTGTCTCAGCTGCCCCATGACCTCGTGGAATCGTTTTCAGCTACATTAGAAGATGTAGCCTGCTCAGTAAGTACAACCACCACCGTTCAACAGACATGGAGCCTAAAAGCCAATTTGGGAGAAGTTACTCTTTAGGTGGGTGCAAATACTGGTCCCCTGGATACTAGCACTTGTTTCTGAGGAATTTATAGGCTTCTGTTTAACTAACCTACAGGAAGAGTTGAGGACTGCAACATACTGCGCTCAATTTGTATTGGACATTGTCATAAGTGGGGACGCGGGTGGCGCTGTGGTCTAAACCACTAAGCCTAGGGCTTGCCGGTTGGAAGGTTGGCAGTTCGAATCTTTGCGACGAGGTGAGCTCCCACTGCTTGGTCCCTGCTCCTGCCAACCTAGCAGTTCAAAAGCAAGTCAAAGTGCAAGTAGATAAATAGGTACCGCTCCAGCAGGAAGGTAAATGGTGTTTCCGTGCACTACTCTGGTTTCACCAGAAGCGGTTTAGTCATGCTGGCCACTTGACCGGGGGGGGGGGACTGTCTCCAGACAAACGTCAGCTCCCTTGGTCAATAAAGCAAGATGAGCGCCGCAACCTGTGTCGTTCACGACTGGACTTCACTGTCAGGGGTCCCTTTACCTTTACCTTTATTGTCATAAGTGAGGACTTTAGATACTAAGTTTTTAATCTGTTTAGCAAAATATCAAACCTAAGGGGGGCAACTCACCCAACCCCCGTAATAGTTCTTAGATTGATTCTTACATTGATTCCCAAAAACAACCTAGATATGCTGAACTGCTTGCTAACTTAAACCTTCTTGGGTCTGTCTCAGAAATAGGTTTATTTTAAGCCCTCATTTGTTTCACATATCTTAAATACTACAGAGTGATGCAAGAGAATTTGACGAAAGGAGCTTTACATGGGTGTGATTTTGGTTCAGTTTTATCTGGTTGGAGGCATCCGTTTAGCTTTTCAAAAGTTTCTTTTTCCTGGTCTATTTTTCCTCTGTTGTTCCAAGGACTTCCACCTCTAGCCTTAGGAGAAGGTCAAATTGCTTAGGGTCTATAGTTAATGTTAATATATGCTAGAGATGAAAGCAATTTCTACTTCTTAGGAAAGTAAACAGGCACTCTAGAAATTAGCCAAATAATACTTCACCTAGAGTTCAGTTTTGTACCTCATCAAATAGCAGTATGAAACACTATCCTTCTCTCTTATAGCTCTCTTTTAAAAGTCAAATAACTCAGCACCTTTTGGGGCATGCATATTATTTGTTACTAGGATTTAATTATACACGTGAGGGATGTTAGCCATCCAGAAAGCAGCCTCCAGAAGGAAAGCGTGCTATCGGTTCTCAGGAAACTTAATCTTCCCAGCCACCTACTGGAGTCAATTATTGAAGTTCACAATAAAGTGGATTTGATAAATAGGTAAGAGGTAACAGAATGTTATTGTCTATATCTCCCAGCTATCTCAGTTCTTAATCAAGTTAAACTAGAGTATTGCAATGAGCTGCAATGTGCCAGATTCATTTTCTGCATTGCTGGCAAAACGCCACGGCCCTGTCAACCTGGACAAGAGCCCAAAGTCAGTGGGTGGAATCCTTGGCACTCATGGAAGGGCTTTTGATCCATCAGACACCTCCACACTGGTCTGGAAAATCCTTCCACTCTCTGGAGGGCTACAGGGGTTAGCAGAGGCTTCTGCCAAGTCAAAAGGTCTTCCATGAATGCAGGGCGGATGGTTGGATTCCACCCAGCATGGCCAAAAATTGAGACATTTTCTCTAACTCACAATGGCAAATGACTGCTAGGTGGAATCCAGTGCACAACAGTTTGTGTTTTATTGATTTCCTCAGTTTTAAACGTTATTTAAATATAAATTATGTTGTGTCCTTTAAACTGGATTGACTGGTTTATGAGTTTCTTCGTTTATAAATGTCAATAAAATAGAAATAAACCATTTAATATTTACAACCCTCAAAAGAGCTGCTTGCTTTTAATGAGGCTCAGAAGCATGCAACACTTTGGGAGTTGAAAAGTTGCACTTACAGAAGACCATAATGAAGAAAAAAGTCATTTGTACTACATTTACGGTGAAGACAGATGTAGCACCTGAGCTATGTGATTGGTTTAAGAGCGAAAGAACCTTGCATTTACTTCAATATTTTTGATACTAGATAGTGGTAGGAACCGGAGTCAACCACATGCATGATCAAGTTTGATTTTATACCCAAATTTTACCATTCTTCTGATCCTGATACTCTTGAATTTTCCCCAAACAAAATGATCTTGGAGCTTAATTCCAGAATGTTCTTCTTACATAGAATGGAATCAAAATATGAGCATCATCTTAATATGTCTGAAGCATTCCTAGGCCCACAGCAACAAAACACACTGTGTATCAACTATATTGTTTCCTGCTGCCAAGACCTGACTTTCTGACCTCTGCTTTCTTTGAGGTACCATCCGGCTGAGCCAGAAGCCATGGCCATTTCTGCTCTCCTCGGGCATGGTTTAGAAGAATTAAAAAAGGAAATAGACAGCAGAGTTTTGAAAGTAACTGGGAAAAACATTATGACAATTAAAATTGATCTATCTGGACCTCAGCTCAGGTAAGGCTACTTACTGGTTACGGGGCGTTTGTTGTAGAGCAAATTTGTATTGAGGATCTTTTTCATCAAACGCAGATAGCTTTTAGGTCTTTCGCCACAGCAAAGTTTTAGCCATCTTTAAAAAATAGCTTCATTTTCCTTGCCAAACCCACAGCTTGCCTGTGTTCTGCCGGTTCTGTTGTAACAGTTAAAGCTGAAAGAATTCCCTTCTTGGTGTGTTAGCTTTCTTGACCTTGAGTCTGGTGAAATATGTCCTTGGGTGCCACCAGGCCAGTAACTTGTAATCATGCTGCTGCTACTACTACAGAACACATCACCAATGCTTCCCATTGACTGTCTAGACTGCAGTCACAGAACTGCTTTGTTTCAATGTAGAAGGAAGCTAAGGAGTTCTTATTCTTCATATTGGTTTAGGGAGCCCCCAGCCCTGCCCTACCTCCTTCCTGTGCCCACCTCACGCGAAGTATTTACGAGTATTGTGCAAAGTGAACTGCAATCCTGATTTGGAGCATTTGCTCAGACCAGGGAACTGCTTATTAATCCGAGCATGCAAGGGTAGGAGTGAGTGCATAAGCACACACTCCTAATACTCCAGAGATTGGTTTTTGTCTGCATACAGCCAATGTCTATAAGGCACTCACTGTTTTCTGCCTTTCTAGTTGGCTCTACAAAGAAGCGACAGTGCAAGATGTGAATGTTGTTCCTGAAGATGGTACAGCCAACGTGAAGGTGATCATAAACAATTCCACTTTGGGCAAATACAAAAGACTGTTTCCTCGATCAAGTTATTCCTCTTGCAGTTAACAAGATAAATTATCTTTGCAGAGAATCTCTGTTTCATAGGTATTACAGAGCTGTTAAACACACACACACAGAGAGAGAAAGAGAGAGAGCGCTTTGCTAGAATATAGAGCTTCATCCTGTTTGCTTCAGATAGACCAGGAACTGTTTGCCTTGAATTGCTGAAGAAGCGTATTTGTGAAAATGTCATGAGACAGTTGCAACACTTTCGGTTTATGGGGAATTGCATAAAACCACCCATTCTTGGCAAAGTGGCAGATCTATTCAACTGCTTATATGCAGGGTTTGTTATCAGTCAGAAAGCTAATTTTTAATCAAAGTGAATGTTGTTTTATCATAAAAGTTGCCGTGATTTTCCAGACTGCTAATGCTGCTCTAACTTCTGTGTTACAATTCCTGACACTTTGTTAAAAAGTACTTACTTATTTGGAGAAGAAAAGTCCCGGAGTTTTATATTACAGGCCTGGGCTCCCCTTCCTTTAACAAAAATAAATATTTAATGCCTTGAGGGGAAGCTTGATTGTAGCTCTATTTTTTTCAATGTACACTTAGAACTGTTAACACTGATTAGGGATTCTGGAATACATTAGTCAGCCTTTCTGCTGCTGTTCCTTTCTTATACCCTTCATAGAAGTAGGTTAGCTTTTTCTGTAACGCTGCTACATAGTGGTTGAAGTCCAGTGCTCTTATTTATTCAGTATGACTTTCTAAGGTTTGCTTTTGGAACGAATATTCCCCTTCCTGTTGCCTACCATGGTAAATATGATGCTCTAGCTGAACATTTTGTTCCTTGTTGTTGTTGTTTAGTCATGTCTGACTCTTTGTGACCCCATGGACCAGAGCACGCCAGGCACTTCTGTCTTCCTAGTGTTGCTAGTGGTTCCTAGTGGTCCCTAAACCATGAACTTCAATCACATTTCTTATTTTTACATAAGTAAGCCTTGATGAATTTGGTAACCCTGCAGAATTTTACAGACTTAGTGTAGCTGAGCACGCAATCAAGAGTCGCTGTCTCACTTAGCATGCAGCCTTTTGGGAACTTGATACATCTTGGCTTTCGAACCAAGAAGAAAAGCTGCGCTGTCATGATTACTTCTTTGTGCGCACGTCTTTTAACAGCTTTCAAGATGAGCCAATTCCTTAACTGTGGGAGCCTGCATTCCTGGTTTTCCATTTTTGTATCACCCATATTCTCCCAGATCACAACAGCATAGAATGCTGCTCTGCCTGTGGTTGCCGGATGCCTGTCCCAAACACTCAATGTTTCACAGTAATATATCCCCTGGTAGATTGGAATGCACAGATCTTTTCGAGCAGGGCTTTGGGAGATTGTATATTAGTATAGTGCAATTACTGCACTAAATGCTTCCCAGGAAAACTGGGTCTTTTCATAGAAATTTCCATGAATTTCATGGAGCCACCTTCGGTTTATCCATATCCTAGCTGCAAGAAAAATCTTCAGAACATTCCTGTGAGGTAGGTGGGTTACTTATAGTTTATATTTCTTCTTCTTTTTTCTCCTCTTTTTTGAGATAGCATGCTAGGAGTTAACCCAAGCATGCATCAAAGCTGCAATGCTATTTTAAAAATTTTCTATTAAGGCCTATCACGTTTTCCACAAAGTTATTTTTTTCTATGAAGTCTCCAGCAATTATGTTGATACAGTCTTTCTTGGATCCAGGACGCTGTTTTTTAACCCACTGATTTAGGAATGGAAGGGCAGGAAGAGTCATTTTCTTAACAGATCCACGTAGATGTGCAAGAATATAACCTAAATCTCCAGTGAGGTTGATTCCTGCAACAAATAATCCCGCTGTAGGGGGAAAAGAAAAAAGAGAATTGCTAGCTGAAACTCCTGTGATTTTATCCCCTTTTAGATATGTGTTTTCTGCACCAGCATAGAGTGTCATTATTTATTTTAGCAAGGAAGACTTGCTCCCTTTCTACCACTATGTTGGTTCTGCTGCATTCACAAACCACAGAGAGCAAGCCAGATACTACTTTTGCCATTTATTTATCCATCTAGTAGACCACCCCACTGACCACATATCTGCGTAGTTCACAAAATTTAGACGATTGTTTTACTGTATCTGATGAAAAACAAAACAAAACCCTCAATATAAAATCCACATAAAACCAACACAAGGAGCATAAAATCATTCTAAAAGGCCACCCAGCTAAAAAAGAAGAGTTTAGTTCCATGGACTAAAACACAAATTTAAAAGGTATGGGGATGTGCCCTACAGTGCAGCTGAGTACAGACTGTGGCTCTTAACTCAGCAGTTGATCTTCATTTTTTTCTAGATTTTTTCTAGATTTTCATTTCAAGTACCAGAGATGGGCACTTAAGAGCAGAACTGACATGGATGAGCACATCTTGCTTCTCAGAAGAGAAAATCAAGTTGCCTGCCCATGAGCAATTCTGCTCAGTTGTAAGCTACCCTTTCTCCTGGACCCAAGCACTCCACCTCCCATCTGCAGAATTTGGATTCCAACACCCATCAGCCCCAGCCAGCTGGCCATTTGGGAGATCAAAAGGCAGCAATTACCTGGGCGACCATTCTTTTTCCTCATCTCCATGTAACGGATAAGCTCTGCCGCTGTTGTTTTATTTCCCCACCAGTAGGGAATCGCGGGCCACAACTCACAGTGCTTTGTCACTTGTCCTGGATCGTCATAGGACAGAATAACCTGGTAGCCAGAGGACCACATGCTCCGTAGGGTCGGAGTGACCTGAAAGATAAGGGAAGTCAACATACTGAATTCATGTTGCTCAATAGGAAGGATGAGGATCAAGTTCAAGGCAGCTCTGTGGAACCTCAAGTTCCAAGTCATACTTCCTATAGTTCCCTAATTGTATAGCAAAATATATGACAGTAAGATGGCTGCAAGTGGATTGGAAGACACTTTTGAGGATAAGGCCACTGAATTCATGGAGACTCTCTTCCTCCACCCCCTTCCATGGACTATGTACTTTTAATATAACCATTGCTAGTTTGATGCCCATCCACTAGCTTAGGACTGGGGTCTATTCAAAAACCAAAGGACCTTTCTTCCTTTCCTACTTAAGTACGTTTTTTAAAAAAATCACAGCACAATTCACTATACAGGAGCCAACTCCTAGGGACTGAGGTCCCTTCAGCACCCTCCACCCCAATAAAATATTCGAAGGGGGGGTCCAAAGTTAATGGGCATTGGTATACAAATAGTGTAAATGTGCTGCATGATGTGATCAATTATGTAGGGCAGGGCTTACCTGCCTCTTCCTCCGCCCCCATATTTTATTCAAGTTGGCACCCCCAATTCATTATCCATACACCCATGTGGAGCAGGCTACAGAATTGTCTGTGGTACTGCCTGCGAGTAAATCCCATTGCTATCAATGGAGCAACTATTCAATGATATGTTTTACATTTGACCAGATACTGAACAGCCCCACCAAACCTGGAAAAAGCTTACTTCAGCCAGGAGATGATTGGTGCTCATTTTGGGAGGGTAGATTAGGTCTTGTATCCTGTGTTTTACTCGCAGGCTCATTGAAATTAAGCCACATGACAAAATTAGGTCCATCACTTTCAATGGGTCTATGCAGGGTAGAACTTAATTAGATGCAACCATGTAAGTTGCCATTATTGTTTTGCAGCTTCTTTCTTTTTTTAATGTAGCACACCTTTAAGGAATTAACTACGTCAACATGTTTACATGCCGAAAGATTTAACATCTTAGTAATGTCAGTAATAGCAAAGCATAATTTAATTTGTGCTAATGTTGCGCTCTGGAATCTGTTTTCAAAAATGTTAGCAGACGAAGAGTCGTGGAAAAATGTTAGTGGACAAAGAGTTCCTTTCCATTTTAACTAGCTTCAGTCTGTATCCACCAATTGGATAGTGCGCCTCAAGTCTCAACACTTCTTTTTTCATTTTAAGAAATTAAACACTATTGCCATTGAATCACAGGGCATCTTTTGAAATCCTATTGACCAAAAAGGATGTGGGTATTGATATTAATATGTACAGAATCTAATTCAATTAGAGCATAGTTTGAGGATATGTACATGAGCAATCCTATTTATTTCAGTGTATCATCCTGAACAGGCCAGTGTGAATAAGGCTTCTACAATCTTGAAACTTCACAACCAAACATTCCAAGCAACTTACATTTCTGGGACACAGTTTGCCACTGAAGATCTCCTTTGTGCGGGAAACCAAATGGCGGTGATGGTCCTCATCTAATCCATCAAAATTTCTGAAAGCTAGAACGACAACCTCCCAGGGGTGGTTTCTCAACCATCGTAAAATATCCCACAGGACATCCTGCAAAAGCCAACATGAAACAAGTAAAATAAATAGCTGCTAAGTGCTACAAGGAAACTGAAACGAACAGCAACCTGTAATTGATTAATTTCGCAAGTGACACTAAGTTGCATACTACAGATACAGTGATGTTAATTGTGCAGGACTGGAATTTTTTTTTACACCGTTTCCTGTTTGACATATGTTAGCTAACACAAGCTGAGTATATTATCTACAGTATGCAGGGACGTGGGTTTGCAGATCAGAAAGTCGGCGGTTTGAATCCATGTGACGGGTTTGAGCCCCTGTTGCTCTGTCCCAGCATCTGCCAACCTAGCAGTTCAAAAGTATACCAGCGCAAGTAGATAAATAGGCACCACTGTGGCAGGAAGGTAAACGGCATTTTCATGTGCTCTGGCTTCTGCCACAATGTTCCATTGTGCCATAAGCGGTTTAGTCATGCTGGCCACATGACCCGGAAAGCTGTCTGTGGACAAACGCTGGCTCCCTCGGCCTGTAAAGCGAGATGAGCACCACACCCCATAGTCACCTTTGACAGGACTTAACTGCCCAGGGGTCCTTTACCTTTACCTTGTCTACAGTAAAGACAGCTAAAAAAACAAAAAAAAACACTTGATGTAATTGCAACTATAGAATAATCTTGACTAAATTGTGGGATCTTGAAAATCTCGACTTTAATTTTCAAGTCTAAGTGGCAAGTAACCTGTCCTTATGACACAGCAGAGTATTTCTGCCCTGTTTGCATTACTGTCTGACAGGAAGAGTTGTTCAACAGTGGAACAGACTCCCACGAGAGGTGGAGGTTTTTAAGCAGAGGTTGGATGGCCATCTGTCATGTATGATTAAGTTGAGGTTCCTGCATTGCATATGCCAAAAAACAACAACAAAAAAAACTACAAACCAAAACAGAAGAGGTATCCTAGCTCAGAAGGCCTTTTGGTTTAAAAGGCTCATATTAACATCTGTTGCATAGTCTCAAATCCTATTGACATCAAATCCATTTGGCACACATAACAGAGCAATCAACTTAGGGGTGGGTTGCTCAATCATTATTTTCCGATAAATATGGTAGTGTTATAATTAGGAACCTGAAGTTATCACAGGTCAAATACAATACAAAAAAAAACCCCCAGAACATTCATCACATAGTAGGCAGAATTAATGGCCATTTGATTTAATAATTTAAAAAAAGGATCTGATTAATTAGATACATAAGGTGTGATCCAAAGATTCTTGAGTGTACCCATCTACAGAGACTTCTTTTTCTCTAGCCTAACTGGGAAGGAAAGTGAGCCACAAAGACAGAAATCAATATGTTTCTCCACTTGCAACTTGCTTTTCCTTCCATGCTGGGCGGCACTTGATCAAAGTGAGCTACAGGATATTCTGGGGAGACGTGTCAGGACCACATTGGGCGAGGCTGGAGGCTGCATGCCGTCCTCAAGCTGTGGTTTCCCCACCTCTCCTCTACATGGAAGGGAAAGGCTGTATGCACCAGAATTCCTTTTCTGTCCATGTGGTGTGCTCCCTGGCTCATTAAAAAAAGAAACAAAACACAGAGGAAGCTTCTGTGTGTACAGAAATCTCTATAAAGGCCAGTGCACCCAAATATCTAGCAAACACAATTGTCTAGTTCTCACTTAATTGGTAAACCATGTTTTAGCACTACACACACCAGGAAGTCTTGGGCTCACACATTCTTTGCTTTCCTTCTGGACAGCCGGGAGAAGGAATTTGGACCAGAGATTGCCACATAAAGCAAACTTGTTAGCTTCAGACACTGTGGCTTGAAGTTGGTTTGTTCTAAAACTGACCAGAGTTTGTTTTGAACCACAGTCTGCATATCTATTATTCTTGGAAATCTAGGTACACCAGGATCTCAGTATTTTGAAAAACAACCTGTTCCAACCTCTTGGAAACTAGAAGGCCAATAAAAGAGAAGCAGAAGTGTGTTTTAATTCATGCTTTGCAAAGCCAGTCAGGCAATTCTGAGAAGCTGATTCATATTTTGAACACTTAGGGTTAGTAATGTTTGTCTGCTGTAATTGTTGCTTAGCCTGCTGTGGAATCCTAATAATCTTCAAACAGATTAAAATATGAAAGCCAGACATCACAGGGAATTGCTATGTTATACCTGAGTCAACATGGTAATTGCTGAATCTTTAGTAAGTCTAAGTTTTGGGTCTTATTGAAATGGTGGACTCCTGAGAAAAAAGCTTTTTGAGAGCTGCGCTTTCTAGCCATAACACATTTGGTTAGGTTAGCTTCAATAAGCTAACAAGTTAGCTGTGCCTTAACTTAAATCCCATTCAGTGGGAGCTAAGCAAAAGTAACTTAGTCTGGATCTATCCCTATGATATTTATAAAACAGCGTAACAGTAGCCTATATTCCAGTCAACTGCATCTTCACAGCTACCAAGATTCCTGCAAATGAATTGCAACAGCCCCAATCCAGAAAAAAAGAGACATGCACAGACAAGATCGAAAGCAATGGGGCAAGTTTGTAGATTTTAATGGAAATAAAGCACTGCTGGTTTTTTTCTGAACAGGGCCATTGCTACAGAATGAATACAAAATACCCAAGCTGGATATTGAAGGCTCTCTGACTTTAACATGCCTTCAGTCCTCAAGGCCACCCTGGGCTTCTTTGGGAGGAAGGGAAGGATATAAATTGAATAAAGAATCGTAATCATGCATGTTGGTTTTAAACTTTAATATTGTGGTAAAGTCATCAAGGACCTTGGATTTTTCTAGACAAGCTCCACTGAACGGGATGCATGTAAAACACAGATGTGCTTAAGCAGCGCCCTTTTCATTCCAACAGGACGTATGCAGAAGAACATCCAAATAAGTCCTTAGTTCTATATTTCCACACTACAGACTTGAAGGACCGTCTCCTTGAACTTTGACACTAAAGATCATTTGATACAAAAAAAGGAGGGGAGAATTAACATCTTTTCCAGGCCATAATGGCATTCAATGACTTCCATTCCAATACAGATCCATTGCACTCTGTAATGAAAATCATGGCATCAGTGACCATGATCTGGACCGTAGGAAGGTAGCGTATTCCCTGCACGCACAAACAGACCTTGGTCTGTAGTGAGCCAGCACCCATACCAAGCCCTGGGAGCACATAAGTGAAGTTTCTGATTCACCTGGTACAGATGTGGTGCTTTCTTTGCCAACAGGACATGGTACAGCCATGGCAACCATGCATACGTATACATGCACACAAAATGCAAATGGCCAGACCAACTAGTCCTGCTTAGTATGCATGGGATGTCTAGTTGCAGCACTGTTTGCAGGATCATAGGGGTCAGTACTCTCTGCACTGGCTGCAGAATCAGGCAAATTACCTGGCACCTGCCTGATCCAGTACACAGCTTGATAGTTCCAAAAGCCAATGGTAAAACTGATGGTATTCCTCTTCCTCAAATGGGATACTCCCCCCACAAGGCTGTTACAGCTGAGACATTGAGGCATACATGCAGCTTTTTCATCCTGCACCAGAAAGGGGTACTATTACTTAAATAGTAGTTAGATCAGGGCTGGGAGACCTGCAACCCTCCAAACATTGGGCTACAGCTTCCATCATCCCTGGCCAATGGATGAGGCTGATGAGAGTTGGGAGTACAACATCTAGGGGAGTTAGATCATTACAGTGGTACCTCTGGTTGCGAACAGGATCCGTTCCAGAGGCCCGTTCACAACCTGAAAAGAACGCAACCCGTGTCTGTGCACGCGCGGGTCACAATTCACCGCTTCTACGCATGCGCGTGATGTCATTTTGCGCATCTGCGCATGCGCAAGCGGCGAAACCCGGAAGTAACCCGTTCTGGTACTTCCGGGTCGCCGCGGGACACAACCTGAAAACGCTCAACCTGAAGCAAACGTAACATGAGGTATGACTGTATAAGTAACTACAGTAAGTTGTCCTAAACTCTTTTTTAAATTGTGTTGTGATGTTGTGTTTTAAGTCCTCCTTGGGACCTTAGGGTGAAAGGCAGGTAATAAATCCCATGATAATATGAAATAATAAATACTTCAGTGCTATCAAAGCAAAACTGTACCTCTACAACCGCTGTTGTGTACAGCATATGAACAAAGTGCAATTTCATGGAAGGTTCATCAGGCTTGTGAGCAATCCTCAGATCAAAATACCTTATTCCAGCATCCAGTTGCTCTGACAGAGTCAGCACCTGTCAAGTTAAAAACAAAGTGCTGTTAAATTGCTTAGCACAAACCTCAACATTTTTAATTCATCAGGCACATTTATTCTATTTCTCCTTGCAGTAGCTGTGGGATGGTACATCTCATATGGCCCTTACAGCAGAGTGAGCATGCTAACTGTTGAAAAAGCAAGCTTCTGGAATAAGACATAGGAACCAGAAAGTTTGAGAACTGCTTACCTGTGTTATAGACCACCTCAAAATAATTGGGTGTACTATGCTGTGCATATGCTTGTCCATAAACTGCAGCAACTTGGATTCATTTATGCTCACTTCCGAGTCCTTATCCAAGCAATAAGTCATAGCATCATGACTTCCTATTGAAATAAAAATGTAAAGTCAATCTACTTCCAATCATTTGACAAATCTTACCCTCTGCACAAAACTTCCATCTCTAAAACCATGTGGCTTTACACACAATTCCTACCCTAAGCACATGATTGCAAAAAGATCTATCAGTGGGGAAAAGCGGGTATCAAATCCCAGCTCAGTGCAAACCCTTTCTTCAAGTTTCTTAGAGGCTGAGAGACTGGGTTGAAAAGCAAGATCCATGTGATGTCTGATTCTGAGCCATCACACAACCTCCCAAGGTTGTTGTTTCTGGAGGGCTGGCAAAAAAGGAAAATCATTCCTGGCTAGTGCTTTTCCCTCAGCAAGAAGCTTTAAGTTAGGATTTCCTAACCACCCTCTTGATACAATTTGGGCAAACTACACATACCCCAAGGGGACGCGGGTGGCGCTGTGGGTTAAACCACAGAGCCTAGGACTTGCCGATCAGAAGGTCGGCGGTTCGAATCCTCACAACGGGGTGAGCTCCCATTGCTCGGTCCCTGCTCCTGCCAACCTAGCAGTTCGAAAGCATGTCAAAATGCAAGTAGATAAATAGGTACCACTCCAGTGGGAAGGTAAACGGCATTTCCGTGCGCTGCTCTGGTTTGCCAGAAGTGGCATAGTCATGCTGGCCACGTGACCCAGAAGCTGTACACCGGCTCCCTCAGCCAATAAAGCGAGATAAGCACCGCAACCCCAGAGTCGGCCATGACTAGACCTAATGGTCAGGGGTCCCTTTACCTTTACCTTTTACACATACCCCAACAATATGGCTTACATCTATTAGATTTTGTTGATGAGATTCGGTGTTGGGCCTGCTCCTTGACTGAGTTGTCTGGCACCAAAACATCAGTCAACATGACAGGAAGAAGCTCACTCCAGAACTATTTCCAAAATGTGGTCTACACATGTTGATATTGCATTTGTGGGAGTGCACAGATGCTACAGAGCATAGCCAATCCAAATCTAAGTGTAATAGGATACTGAAAAGCTGGTGCTATTTACCTGGAAGTGACAAATTAGAGAGAGGAACGCCCCAGAGACATTCCGGCAAATTAGACATCCATTGGCCGCCGTCACTGTACAAGTGAACAGATTTCTTCTTTGAACGTCCCTTCATTTTCCCCTTTTGCGTGATGTTCTATAAAAGAAGCTGAACAAAATGAGAAGTTAAGTCTGCCCCGTCGGTACGACCTTCTCATTGCACAGTACAGTTGTGGCACTGATTAAATTCTAACACTTACTAAATTCAGGAATGATAGCTGTCTTGCACCCACAAACTAATAACAATACTCTAAGATGAGAATGTAAGAATTACTGTGCTGAATCAGAGCAAAGACTAATTTAGTCAAACTCTGCAATTGTAGAGTTGGAAGGGACCACAAATGTCATCTAATCCAATCCCCTGCAGTGCAGGAATCTTTCGCCTAACGTGCGGCTTCAACCCATAATCCTGAGACTTAAGAGTCTCATGCTCTACCGAATGAGCTATCCCTCAGATACTTGCCATCTAAAATACCTGGAGGGCACCAATGTACTAGACAAAAAATTGCACATCAAGCCTTTGTTGCACCCTGCGTACCTGTCATAAACTGCCCTCCAAGGCAGCCATTTATATTGCACCAGCCTAAGGGCTGTGACAGTGGGTGGAATGATATGCATCAGCACAATTCATCACCGCCTTTTTTTGAGTCATGGCAAATAGGGCAGAACTGGGTAACTGACCTACAGGCACCAGGTCAATTCACCTGGAGTGGCACTAGTCACCATATGCATCACTGCTCCTAAAGCATATGCATGGGATTAAAACAACCCATCTAAAAGAGGCCTATACCCAATAATAGATTCAGACAATTGGGTTCTTCCCTTAATGTGATGACTTTTGTAGCTGCCTTTGGAATCCAATGGTACTGGGAAGTATCTAACAAATGATAGTGTCCTAAAGTCAGAATGCATTTGAAAACATCTAAGTATTATGTTGTCCACTACTTCAAAGACCCATTTAGATGACCTGGTTATGTTTGAGTCCCAGTACTTAGATACTGCAAAAGTCAGAAGGGGGGGGGGGAAATATGGTTGTCTGAATTCATCTTTTTTTTCCCTTCACTTTGCAGATAAACCAATCAAATTACCTTTTCCTGTCCTGAAAGTGCATATCAATGGTTTTGGATATACTTCCCAAAGAACTGTAAAATCAGTTTTCAGGAATGTGTTTTAAAAGGCATCTACACTTCTTTTTTTTACCATGTCTAAAATCCCAACCATTTACACAGGTAACTAGGAAGAACAGTCTGCCATCCACAAACCAAGATCAACAGTGCAATTCTTTGCATGCTTACTCAGAAGTAAGGTCCACTGTGCTCAACAGACTCCCAGACAAATTGATTGCAATCAAAATTATGTCAAATGGCCGAAGGGGTGTGGTGGAAAGAAGAATCTTGGTCCAATACCAAAATACATTTTGAGTAAGTCATTCACGTTTGATATGCTAGAAAATAATATTGATAAAATTGATAGTCTATACCCATCCCAAATCCATCAATCTATTTTACTACATGAACTGCAAAAGATGCAGTATGTCAAAAGCTGGAGTCAGGAATAGGTCAGCAACACCACCACCACTGTCATTGAAGTTAACTCTTTATTCAAAGAAACCAAAACAGTGCATACCTAGTGGTCACAGCAATCCTTCCGAGTAGGTCTTGCCCCAAAGAGGCAGTTGTGAGAGCCTTCCCACCACTCTCTAAGGCTCTTCCCCCAGTTTCTTCCCCAGCAGACTGAGGCTTCATAATATTGTCTCTCATTGCTCCACCCTCTTCATTTCTTTGTGTGTTCTGTGAGACCGGGGTGGGGGGAGTTGTTCACAACAGGAGAGGGAGACCCCCTGGATTCTTCAGCAGCCTGCCTCATCTCCATCTCCTGGCCCTCCTCCTCTCCTGCCTCTGAATCTGGACTGCTCTCTGCCACAGCCACTCCCTGCTCACTAAACCCTGTTGCCTCTTCAGCTTCTGACACCGCCTCTTCCTCCCAGTCTGCTCCCTCTTCTCCCTCTGACCTCTCACCCATCGTCCCACTACCAGTCCCCTGGCCTCTGAGACTTCTTCCCCAGGGGTTTCCCTTGAGGGTTCCCGAGCTGGTGCCCCCCAACACTCCTCTGCATCCAGCCAGTCCATGATATAATACAACAAAATCCCAACATAACAACAGATGTCATTTGGGCAAAATTAATCCATGTATACTTTATTTGGCAAGAATTAGGAACATCAGGGAGCACAACACAGATTAGACTCTATACAAACACATCCTAATCTGCCCCATATATAGCGGCCAATATTGCCTGACTACAGGAGATCGTGACAGCCACAACCTGATTTATTTCCTACCGGGCTATTAACCTATTTTTTTGTAAAATCCCTTCTGCCGTTCCTTATCTATTGTTTTCCTAAGTAGGTCAGTTGTTCCCACACATAAATTACCAATCAGTAACGCTAAAGCTTCTACAGCTCTGGCATAATCTCCTAAGGAACCTTATAAGCCAGGAAAAAAATGCATAATAATAATGATGTCAGAACAAACCAACTTTCTCCCTAACAAAAAAAAGATGTTAGAGCACCATTCATTCGATGGCAGAATTCTCACCATCTCTATTCTAGATCACCCATCTATTCAGGTGATCAGTAGTAACAGTATCTGCTAAACCAAACACATGCCTGTTTAGTGAGAAGATCCTCATGTGCAATAGCAACAGGTTCCTGATGTGTAAAGGAACCTCTAGCTTACGGTCATTATTGCGAGGAATTCCATGTGAGATGCTAACTCATATTCTAATTTGTTATATTTATACATCATACTTCAAGCTATATGACTGTACCATAAAATTGCATAATTACAGTGCATATGTTTGAGAAAAGTTCTAAACAGGTAAGGAGAACCTGTAGCCCTCCAGGTATTATTGGACTTCACTTCCCATCATTCCTAACCGCTGTCCATGCTAGCTGGGGCTGATGGGAGTTGGAGTCCAACAAAATCTGGAGAGCCACCAGTTCCCCATACTTGACTTAAAAACTTGTACGTTCAAGGCTGAACTGCATGTTACAATAAATGCATGGTTTCACCAACAACACCTTCTGTCCTACAGCAAATCCCAGCTTGAGGGACAATTTTAGTTGGACCTGGAGTACAAAGGAAAAGGTTTAATCTTCCCCTCCCTCTGCTCCTCTGTGCCTGCAAGTTAACAAAAAAGAAGCCAGACATATTAAATATGTAACTGCATTTAATGCAACATGTACCTTATTCTGGATCTTTCTGTATTTGTCATGAAGTATACATTCAACTCTTCTATCTTTGCAATCCAATAAATGTACTTATATGATACACATTGCCTCATTTAGTCATATTTCAGTCTGATATTTCATATTTTGGTGAAGTATGAACCATCCCTAAGCATTTTTTGGAATTTGTGGATGCCGCTTGTTTTGAACACATCAGCAATCCATAAAACACAAAGTCCACAATTTCACAGTCCCCATCTTGCACTTCTTTTTAGAGTTCAGCAACCGAATTCTGATGAACTGAAAGGCTCACAGACGACGTGGGGTGGGGGAGGCACGGGTTTCAGACCCAATACAAAATTTCATGTAAAAATTCTTATTTAATGCGTTTGTAGATCGTCCTCCCCGCCCGCCCGCCCCATAGACACCTGGGAAGTTATTTTGCGCAAAATATTTCAACGGGGCTTTGGTATTGTCTGTAAATAATCCAAGTTTTCTCTCACACACATACAGAGAGAGAGAGAGAGAGCGCACCTAGATTACGTTATGCTACTAAAAACTGAATGGGAAAGTCCTATATAACAATGGGGACGGATGTTTATCAGACTCTATTACTGCTGTGGTGGCACAGTTAAAAAACCGGTTGCTTAGAGACGCGGGACATGCCCTACATTCAGCTGTGGGAAAATATTTAAGCTGCAGTCCTAGTCACACTTTCTAGAGTAAACAAGGCTGCAAAGGATTGCATCGTTGGTCGCGCGCAAAGCGGAGACGGGAGGCATCAAATCATTTTTATTTAAAAAGAAAAAAGAAAAACTGCAAAGAAAAACTGTTAACTTACTTGAGGAAGAATCAGAAAGATCCCGTTCCAGGAAACATTCTTCAAAATCTCCCTGTCGCGTGTCACATTTGCCTTTCCACAGCACGCAATTCCACAGCGTAGGGGTCGCAGCTGCCCGTTCCTCTCGGCAGTAGCAGAGCCTCGCTTCGCTTCCTCTCTCAATCCGGGCCCGCTCAGATTCTGGACCCAACACTCGCCTTTTCCCAAAAGCCGCTGCACCGGGAAATGAAAACAAACACACGCTGGCCTCGATTTGCATGCAAGCCCCGGGATTGGTCCTTGTCGCCAACGCCCCGCCTCTTGCGTGGGGGGGGCAGCCGAATTTGGGGCGGGACGAGCAGCAGCAAAATCTGAAACTGCAAAATCAGGGTTTTGTTATGAAAGCGCGGAAGCAGAATTGCGGGTGGGTGAGAGAGGCAGAAGAAGCGCCGAGAGACCCTGGGGACACTCCCTTGCAAGGCTTACTTGCGAGTAAATACGGATCGAGCTGCACACCCCACGCGCGATTGAATAAACGCGCGTCGGAGGTGCGGGACTGCGCCCCATCCACGGAAGGTTTCTAACAGGCTGGTTCAGGCTTTCTCAAAATTAAACGCCAGGGTCTCCTTCCAACACTACGGTTCTGTGATTCCAGGATTACTCCTTTTGGGGGGGGGGCAGGCTTTTGTTAAGGGAGGCAGAACCTCAGATTTGTACCGATTTTTAATCAAGCAAATACAGTAAATAAAAATAACCAACTGACCAATGGAGTCGCTGATACCGCGCTCTCTCTCTCTCTCTCTCTCTCACACACACACACACAGAGAGAGAGAGAGAGAGAGAGAGAGAGAGCGCTTCATTGCGGTCCATAGACCCAAAATACACAGTACAATAGTAAATATCAACAGTTATTAAGATGCAAAATCGGTTCTGCCCTTCCACAAAAGTCCTCTCCCCCCCCCCAACATAAATCCTGGCTACTCCCATGTAGGGTACTCTGCACAAGGGACGCGTATATATAAATTATATATATATAAAGGTTCTTAGGGCACGGAAGGTGATAAAACTGCTAGCACCTTTGCAAAGCAAAGCAGCATCTGGTGTGGTTTCAGACTGGATGGGGGAACCGCGTCATGTTGAGATTCCTGCATTGCAGGGGGTTGGACTAGATGACCCTCTGAAACCTTGTGGTCCCTTCTGTGTATGTTCTTCAGCATGTTCTTCACACAGCATTAGTGGATTTGTTGGATACTGGGGCGGGTGGTGGTTTGTTGTTGTTCTGTGACACTTTGCCCAACGCTGCCACGTTATTGCCGTCTGCATGGCAACCAAAGTGGGGCGGAAATAAAATCAGGGTTTTGGTTACAGGGTTTCAGCGGGACGTTGTGGCATAACAGCTGGCTGGAAATTAAGCATAAGGCCATCGTATGGTTACTGGCCACAGTGGCTACGTTCTGCCCCCACTGTCAGAGGCAATATGCATCTGAATGTCGTTTCCTGGGAATTGCAGGCCGACAGAATATTGTTATACTCAGGTCCCGCTTGCAGGTTTCCCACAGGTATCTGGTTGCCCACTGTGAGTCTAGGATACTGGGCCGATGGGCTACTGGCCTGATCCAATGTCCTTTTCAAATGTGTTGGGGATTATTGGGTTGTTCTTGCTTTTGTTTTCATTATGCATTTTATGGTTTTATATTGTGTTTTTATTTGTGAACCTTCCTGAGACCTGCAGGTTTAGGACAGTACAGTGGTACCTCAGGTTAAGTACTTAATTCGTTCAGACGTCTGTTCTTAACCTGAAACTGTTCTTAACCTGAAGCACCTCTTTAGCTAATGGGGCCTCCTGCTGCTGCCGCACCGCCAGAGCACGGTTCTGTTCTCATCCTGAAGCAAAGTTCTTAACCTGAAGCACTATTTCTGGGTTAGCAGAGTCTGTAACCTGAAGCGTATGTAACCTGAGGTACCACTGTATACAAATTTAATAAGTCGTTGTCATAATCCAGCAGGCTCTTCTAATATTCCTACGAAGCAATGTGAACACCCCGAATTTTTGTAGAGACAGACAGTACTGAAAGCAGTGTTGTGTATGACCACCCTCACAGCATTGCGAGCACAATAAAAAATAACCATAAAGGTAAAGGTAAAGGTACCCCTGCCCGTACGGGCCAGTCTTGCCAGACTCTGGGTTGTGCGCCCATCTCACTTAAGAGGCCGGGGGCCAGCGCTGTCCGAAGACACTTCCGGGTCACGTGGCCAGCGTGACATCGCTGCTCTGGCGAACCATAACCCATAGCTGCAGCCTAAAAAAAAAGCACTGGAATCTACTGAAATTCCTACGAAAGGTGCTACAGAAGCTCCAGCTCAAAGAAGAGCAGGGGTGGAAAGTCTGTTTCAACCTGTGTGCCACATTCCCATCTCGGCAACCTTCAGAAGACCAGATGTTTGTTGGGGATGCGACAAAAGGCAAAAGTCGATCCCCCTGGAATCCAGAATGTGGTATCTGGGGCTCTCCTTGATCTGATAACGTGAACAGATTTACTCACCAGTAGAGCATGCCAACCTACACCTTGGCACCTGGTGGCTTGGATCAGCAGCTGAATCACAGCCTATGTCTAAATGAAAACCAGGATTCTCATGATTTTAGGACAAGGCTCATGATGCCGGCTTTCATTAATGGCTGTGGAAAAAGATTGGTGCTAAAAAATTCAGATTAGCCACGCTGAGAATCACACTAGTTTGTTCATTGTTGTTGTTTACTTGTTTAGTCGTGTCTGACTCTTCGTGACCCCATGGACCAGTCTTCCACTGCCTCCCACAGTTTGGTCAAACTTATGTTGGTAGTTTTGAGAACACTATCCAACCGTCTCGTCCTCTGTTGTCCCCTTCTCCTTGTGCCCTCAATCTTTCCCAACATCCGGGTCTTTTCCAGGGAGTCTTCTCTTCTCATGAGGTGGCCAAAGTAATTCATGTAATTCAATAACTGGTCCTTGAGAGCAGGTTACTGTGAAAAGCGGTTCCTAAGAAGTGACTTAAGTCTTGTTGTTCATTCCTGGCTTCCTCAGTCAACTTAGGGTTTCCGGACTGACATCAGTTTTAAGCCTCAGGGCTATAGGAAGCTATTAAATAACAGGAATGGCAGGAAACTAATGCGGAAGCTACTAGCTAGTGGTTACTGATTAAGACAATTGGCTATGGTGTCCTTACCTGCGAGTCATCCAAATAAGCATGTCACAGCACTGCCTCAGCATCTCCTAAGACGACTCAGATGAAGGAATTGAGGGGATGCTCATCAAATTTGCAGATGACACCAAACAGAGGGGTAGCTAATGCCATAGAAGACAGGACTGGGATTCAATATGACCTTAACAGGTTGGAGAACTGGGCCAAAACTAACAGAATGAATTGGGACAATTGCGAGTTTCTACACTTAGGCAGAAAGAACCAGTGATACAAACATAAGATGGGGGGCACTTGGCTTGCCAGTAGTATATGAGTCAATTGTGTGATACAACAGCAAAAGAACCCTAATGCTATTCTAAGCTGCATCAGCAGTAGTGTCTTGACCAAGGGAAGTCATAGTACCACTCTATTCTGCCTTGGTCAGATCATACCTGGAGTACTGTCCAGTACGATCCAGTTCTGGGCACCACAATTTAAGAAAGATATTAATAAGAGGGAATATGTGCAGAGGAGGGCAACCATAACGATAAAGGTTCTGGAAACTAGCCGTATGAGGAATAGTTGAGGGAGTTTAGCCTGGAAAAGAGGAGACTGAGAGGAGATACGATAGCCATCTTCAAATTTCTCAAGGGCTGTCATATGGAAGAGGGAACAAGCGTGTTTTCTCTTGCTCCAGAGGGTAGGACTCAAACCTATGACTTCAAATTACAGGAAAGGGGATTCTGACAGAATATCAGGAAGAACATTCTGCCAGTAAGAGCTGAGGACTTCCTCAGAAGGTGGTGGGCTCTCCTTCCTTGGAGTTTTTAAAGTAGAGGTTGGGTGGCCATCTGTCATGGATGCTTTCGTTGAGATTCCTAAATTGCAGGAGGTTGGACTAGATGACCCTTGAGGTCCCTTCCAACTCTACAGTTCTGATTCTATAAATTCTCTTATACACACACACTTATGTGTTTGTACCTGAAATTTTCATTGAACATGTAGGTTTATTTACCAGCCAAAGACTATTGATATCACAGAATGAAATAAATACAAGTTCTGTAACTTGCTAACTTTTAGTATGGCTTACTAAGAATTTGCTACTCCTGTATGTGGTTCAAACCTAAGTCAGGCTCTATTTAGTGGAATTTCTTTCCAGGACTCCACGTTTATATGGTCCTGGTAATCCACAATTTGGTTTACCTTAATATGCAAACTCAAATGTTTCATCAGGCATGATGTAGCAAATATTGAATGCCTTATTACTGAATAGAGCTTTAAAATATTTAACTCATAAGAGAGGGTATACACATATAAAGTAGCTACAATCCTTTGTTCATTCTTAAGGCATTCATCTATATTTTTGCATTTCTTTCAAGAGGATGCTTTGCCTAAATTTTTAGTTTCAAAAGGTATCTGATACTTAAGAATATGTCAGGTGAGTTATAAAGATACTAATATTTCAAACACACCCTTTAATTCCACTAGAAGCAGGGTATAAACGAAGAGTTTCCATTGACAAATTAATGAAACTAATTCATGCCAATAGTGAGCAAGATAACTTGAGAGTTTTTTGTGCAGATCCATTCATCTTGTTTGCAAATAATGAGCCATTGGTTAAGTGTTTTCTGAGAGACGTAAGTAATTCTGGTCAGATAGACTTATGGCATAAATATTTTTAAAAATGCATAGAAAAGTTTTCTCTTTTAATAAAAACAAAACTTTTTTTTTAAAAATCCCTGGCGTTAGGAAAGTAATCTGTCCCTTTGAGAAAAGTATTTTATATTAACACAGCAGACTGTTTTTTAGTCTCCCCTAGACAACAGAACTGTTTCGAATAAAACCAGTTTAATTTGAAGAGCTCAGTAGATCTCAACCTTTGCCATTACTGCCAGTAGCTGGACTGAAAGCCACATGAGGGCGCTCACGTCTTGAAAGGGATTGAGTTTTTGTGTGTGAGAGACCTGATAACTAAACAACCAGATTAGACCCTATGCAACAGAAGCACATAACAATCTCCCCCCTCCTATTGCTGCTGCATAAAGAAAAACAGTCACAGGGGGATATATTTGGGAATGGTTAGG